ATTTAAATTTTGAAATGTAATGTGAACTTTTTAAAAAAATTAAATACCTAAAGGCAGTATTTGAAAAATATTCTTTCTACTCAGATGTAACATCAGTCCATTCTTGTGGAATTCCCACTAACAGATTATTTTTTGGGCTGCAAGAGGGCGGATTCATCTTAGACAAGTGAACTCTGTATCCAGCATCTTGTGAGTGTAGAAGTCGATCAGTGTCTATGCTAGCCATACACTGGTTTCCCTGAGCTGTTTTCAATCCCTCTTCACCGTGCGTCTGGTCAGCACAGTGGCCAAGCACAAGGTAATCTTTGGAACCAAGTGCAGAATTCCGAAACAGCTATTTTAAAAAACAGAAACAAACAATATACAACATGTAAGGAACAACAGATTTAAGGAAGAGCACATTTCAGTAAATTACCTTGCTTCTTGGATATGAAACTGTATGTCCACTTTGTATTGAACCATAACAGCAAGGACACACAACAAATGCTGCTCTTTTAGACTCACAAAGTTGAAGAACTATATCAGAAGCAACTCCACATGCATGAAGTGCAATGCCAATATCAAATTTGCCCTGAAATTTTTTTTTACAATATACTTCAGAGTAAAAATTATAACTTAAACAAAAACTATCTCAAAAAAAGAAAAGTAAAAATAGAACAAATTACAAAAACCAACCTGAAAATAATCAATATTGCCTTGAACCAGCTGGATGTTGTCCAAGCCAAGTTTCTCTATTCGATTAACGGCTCTCTGTAGTGACCTATCTTTATTTTCTAACAATAGAACAGTGCATTTGGGTAAAACCCAAGCCAAAAGAAGACCCAAATGACCACTACCTGAACAGAAGTCAACAAGAATATGTCCTGGCTTAGCTAGCTGAAAACAATACAAACTTAATTTTTTACAGAGCTCTAGTGAAATTCAGTAAATTTTGAGTGAAAGGACAGATTATGTACCTACCTTCATGACAGCCTCAGCCATATTTTTTAACTGTTCAGCCTTGCGAATTTGCCGCTTTTCAGGGACGTGGCCACCTTCAGGCTGGATTTCAAGGGGCAAATCAGCCCAGTTCAGATGCACATCATCACCATAAGGTCTTGCTGATTGAGTAATTTCATGGTACGTCTGAAAAAAGATGAGCATATTAAAAAAAAACAAAAAAAAACGCTCAATTTCACTGTGGTTTAAAGTGGGGCTTGCAAGACAGATAAGTACCATTATATCATCCACAATGGCTAACGATGCTTCAACATCTTCCTGCTGAGTATACATTTTGTTACTTCGAGGTTTGTATCGTGAGGGATCCGATTTGTACAAACTTTCTTTGGGTACTTTTGGCAAGAGGTAAGAACATTGATTATTACTATCTTCAACAGATGGAAGAAATGAAACAACCTGTTGGAACAGTACTTTAGTTTTTAGTAAGCACATTTGAGCATGATAACTATAGTTTTGTAATAATGAGTTATCAAACCTTAGTCAACATGTCCAATCCATTCTGAAATTCTTCTGAGGCCAAAATCCTTGAGTACCAGGACAACACCAAAGGAACAGTAACAGAGAGAATATCTGGTGAGAAACGGCTCAAGAGAATGTAGAAACAGGGAAATAATATAACATCTGCCAGTGTCATAGATGGGCCCTCAGCATATAGGTGTGGTATTTCTTCTTCTGACTCTATGCTGCCAATAGACTTAGCATATGCCTAAAATGTAATATTACAAATGTTTCCTTAGTTAGATTGTTATGTCACAAAATCTTATAAAGCATGAGATGGAACAGTACTGTTTAAAAACTTCTCACCTGCCGATGTTTTCTCACATTATGAAGACGGGGTGCATGAGATAAATGTTCCTCCAAACGAGCAACATCCGTAGGAATCATTTCCAAGAAAGATTGTGGATGAGACAAAAAATCTTTTACAGATTTGATAACATCAACCTATTGTATTACAAGTGCAGACATTTAATGAGATTGCATGATTAGAGGCAGCTATTGTCATACAATCCATAACTTGCAGAAAGAAATTACCTCACAAAACCGAGTCCAAACAGAAACCTCAGCACAAGCAATTAGGCAAGACTGGCGAAACCCCAGCAATGGATGATCAATTGATTTAACAAACAATAATTTTCTGAGGACAGAACTCAAGCCAGCAACAGTCTGCACAAGTCTATTTTCTTTAGAGACAAACACAGGCAACTTGCAAACTTTTGCTTGGTACGGGAGGGCAGAATCTGCTTCTTCTGATAAGAAGAAAAGAAATGATAACAATCAGTTAAAACCAGGCCAAAGGCACAGATAGAAAAAATTATAGGTTTACTCTACAATATTTCCTTGCTTACCGATCCTGAGATTTGGGAACAGCTCCTCAAAAACTGGAACACTAGGTTCATTTGGCACTGAGCTAGATACTACCAAAATAATGTCTAACTTTGGACCATCATCCAAATCAAGACATTTGATGGCATGTAAAACAATCATTGTTTCTATAGTAACTGACCGAATACCATCTTCTTCTTGACCAAATGCATTAAGGTACAGAGAACCCATTTTGGAATTGACTTAATATTATTATAAAATAAGAAAAATAGTGACACAGAAAAAATAACAAATTGTGCGTGACAATTGTCCACTAAATTTTATGCACAACTAGAAAGCTGTGCTTGAAGTCTCTTTATCATGCGGCGGTCTAATTGCCGTTGACGGATAAAGACTGCCAAAGATGATGAAAATGCCACACAGAATGAGGCTAATTCAAATAACCAAAAGTTGCGTTCTTCTAGCCAGACAACTTTCAGACAACTGCAATGTAATTATAAAATAATTGGAGAACAATAGCTGGAAAAATTTATGATAAAAAGCTGTGTCTTAGCAAAATTTACCTTCTTACAGCTCGTCCAGATACCTTACACTTAAGAACTTCTTTATATTTAGTAGGAATGCATTCCTTAATGCTTTTACTGGTGACTTCAAATGCTAAAAAATATAATTGGTCATTAGAATATATCTCAGAAATAATTGCACTCTGCAGAGAAAGATATAAAGTTTGTTACCTGAACAAGGATGACACTCCTCTAGGACCACAAATTCCTCACGAAGCCAGCAGGAAGTGTTTGTTGCCGTAATAGGTAGTGTTGAAGGGGCAACGGTAACTCGAGCAGCATTAGCGGACCAAGTCCAACGACCCTCCAAGATTAGCACCAGCAAAGTAACTCTAAGGAAGTCCAGAGGAACCTTTTCCAATCAGTGTTTTCTCTTCACATTTACAATTTTCTGAGTGTTTACATACAACTACACGCCAATAATGGTACTAAGCTATTTATTGTCAAGGATTGTAGTGTCATACAAATAATAGTTCAGAAAGAACAATTCTAAGATACGTACCCTCCTAATAAGCCAATGGCTATAAACATACGCCTTTCGGAGCAGAACTCGATCATCTTCAAAGAAAGCAGGAAGAGGATGAGGATGTCATGCGCTCCACAATCCTTGGTCTCTCATCTCCTTTCGGCTTCGACCACCTTGTTTCGAACTTTCAAGCAACAGTAGTCAATAAGTCAAGGATAGTGAAATATTTCGTACGTCACTGGACACGCTCTCGACGTTTGTTCACCCCACTGATGATGATGACATAAATATAACATCAACGCAACGTATGGTTATGTTTATGTTTATACTTCATGCTTCGTGACCCACCGCCCGCTCGTTCAACCACCGTTCCACACAACTCTGACAACATGGTTGGGTTGGTACAACTGGGTTCGTGATACAATGGCGTCTGCAGAAAGAATGTTGACATCAAAAGTTACTTGTAGTTTTTCAGTTTTTAAGCATTTTTGTTTAGCTTTTACCGTTATTTTCATTACTTTAATCTCGCAAAATCACATTGCCGAAACAGCTCATATAAGTGGGACCTGGAACACTAAAGAATTTTTCAGGTTTTTAATCAAATTTGGGTTCCAGAAGACTGACGTTCACCAAGAAAATGATGGTTATATTTATGGTAATGTCACAATCAAAGGGAATTTTAGCCAAAAAGCCACGTTGGCCGTCTTAGATAGAGGATACTTTTTAGAGTACTATGGTAATCGTACCGTTGCTAATAAAAGCAAGGCATGCATGCTGATGTTCGACAAAATAAACTACACAGCTTACGATTCTGCTTGTTATGATGCTGGTGAGCTAGATTTCCTAAGAAAAATTCCATGCCCTTTTGGAAAAGTTTGTGAAGATGAAGACAAGCCTACTAATGTGGTACCAAATCATCAGTTCACCTTCAGGATTCGTGACATTCGTCAGCCAAGGTAATAAGTGCTTTGATTTGTTACTACCACATTCATAGACCTCATTGAGTGATTGAGCTTTGTTGTTTTCCCAAACCAATGTGTGGCTCCTTTTTTCCATAGATTTTGGTATATAAGTATGGTCGCCTGTTATCGAGATCCTAAGACATGTAAATGGAAACATTTAGACGAGGAGGCTGAATTAGATTATGATATATGGTTTGTCAATGGTAATCCAAATGTATCTGGGAACAATCCTGTCTTATACCAGTTTTCTTTTGACAGACAGGTGAGTTAATAGAATTTAATTTTGTTAAAAATACAAAAACAGATGAAAAACTTGTCAATTTGTAATTTTTTAACTGTTACCTTTTTCTGCCCTACAGGACACTGTAGAGCTTTATTTGGTTTTCTTCCTGTGTTACATAATACTAGTTCCACTTCAGCTCTATGCTGCTTTGCAACAACGTCATCCCGTGACTAGATTGTTCACTGTCAGCCTGCTAATGGAGTTCATCGGACTACTATTCAACCTATTTCATGTTTTGAAATTTGCTGTTGATGGTGTAGGGTTTGAACAAGTTGCAGTTGCTGGGGATGTTTTTGATATCTTGTCAAGGGTAAGCATTGAAACTTTAACTTACTCACATAAATCATAAATTGACTAGCAAGTGATCCCTCAATTAATTATTTTTTATCATTGGTCAGACAACACTCATGCTGCTGCTACTGCTGCTAGCGAAGGGTTGGGCAATAACTCGTTTGGAACTGACACACAAGCCTTTGGTGTTCACGATTTGGTTTATTTATGGTGTTGTGCATGTCCTGCTCTATGTTTGGAACATGGTAAGAGAAATGTTTGTGTCACTCTTACAACTTGTAAGAATGCAAAGTATTATGTTATGTTTTTGAAATTTCCAGACTGAAGTGGACATTATTGAAGAGATTGATGAGTACCAAACATGGCCAGGGTGGTTGATTCTGACTCTTCGCTCGGTTATTATGATATGGTTTTTCCTTGAACTAAGGAATACAATGTCATATGAGCATAATATCCATAAGCTGCATTTCTTCCTCCATTTTGGTGCTTCAGCTCTAGTTTGGTTTATTTACTTACCTATAATTGCTCTTATTGCACTCCGTGTCTCAGCTCTTTGGCGATTTAAGCTACTGCTTGGTAAGATATATCACAGTTACAATAAAACTATGTATCGGATTATTGAGATTGTAACTAATCTGGAATCAAATTGATACTGAATCAAATTTTTTTTGTTCTACTTCAGGAATAACATACTCAGCAGATTGTTTGGCCTATTGTGTGATGACACATTTGTTGTGGCCCACTCGCAGTGAGCAATACTTCTTATTGGCAAACGAAAATTTCCATGCTGACGAATTGGATGAATTCAATGAGTCTCCTCATGTTGTAAACACATATAGAATGAACACGGATGAGCCTCATGATTTTAATGATGTTCCATCTGATTACAACAATTTCTCCTCAGTGAATAGTTCACAAAACAACATTGATGACGCAGATTATACTAAGCCCATCCTTACCTAATAGTTTTAATTTTAATGTGTATGTTACAGTTATAGTGCCATTGAATTTTAAATACTGTATTTTTTTTGTAATTATTTTGTTGTAATTCCAGTTTTTTTAGTTTTTAAGGTGTAAATAATTTTTCAAGTTGTTTTCGTATAAGGTCAATTTTTAAAATGTTGGTTCTTGGTTGGTTGTGGTACATTTCTCTTTGCAAGTCTGCCACCACAACAAATCTAATCTAATCTATCTTACCTTGTTTTGTATGGCTGTTGGCGCCAGAGGCTTTAAGCTCTCTGTCTCCGAATGTGCATTATTGTTCCATCATCGCAAAAAGAATTTAACCCTATTGGCTTGTAATATCACCATGAGAGGGGTTCACCTAATTCTTGTTGTGCTGATGGTACGTAATGTAGAATGTACTACGACTATGAATGTGATCTGAGTGCTACCTCTTCAGTTCAGCTTGTTTCATGAAGAAGGTAAATGCTCATGCTGTGATGTACAGTACTTGACTTTATTGTTGATGTTTTCTGTTTTTATTTCATATATTTGTCCAGTAATGATTTGTCAGAAGCCTGAGACCTACTGTTGGGATCAAAACCAATTGCACTATTGGCAAATTGTTAGAAATATTCTGGTATAGATTGGTAACTAAACAATTTTAACAATTGTTATAATTGTGCCTGTTTTGAAAATCTGTGTTGACTACGTAGGAGAAGTTTTTTGGCAGCCTTATTTATTGTTTTTATTAATTTCATTGCTGATATATTAATATCTTGATGTTACTTTTGGATTGGAAAGATGCTCATCTCCTGGGAAAGGATGCTCATAATGTTAATTGTGATACCAGATGATTATGTTAAAGTGTGTTGAATGTAGAAACCTTATTGGTCAGTCTGTTCAAAAGGTGAAAGTGTGTCTGTAGGGTTGATGGAAGCCTCAAAGAATATTTTAGAAATCAAGATTAAGTTCAGTATTAAAAGTGTTTTGATTTAGGGCCCTTGATAATGTGGATGAAATTTTAGAACTTTTTTTAATTTCTAAGAACCTAGACATTTTTTTACACAAAGTTAAAAATTTTTGGCCAAGTAGATAACTTATAGCTTTATCTCTCTTAATGGTAACTTTTTGTAGTGGCATATTAGATTTTATAACATGTTAATGCTCTGAATTCTCTTCAGTTTCAACGATCCTTTCCGTGGCTCCTTTCAGTGGACAAATCTGTGCACTAAATATAATATAGTCATACATTTTCTGCACTAGATTTTTACTTAGAATTGTTGTTGTTGTAGTTCTAATTACAACTTTAGTAGGAATATTTTCTTTCATTCTATGCTTTCTCATAGTTCTGTTTTTAAATCAGTTTAGTTTAGCAAGGACTACTATCTTTATACTATCTAAAATGAGGCTTATCATAGAGGACCTGCTTATTTTTGAGGCTCACCTTGTCACATGTGTGATGTGCAGTAATTACCTATCTTTCTCTAGTCAATTAAAAATATGAGAGATCCAGTAATGTGGAACTTTGGATCTATGAAAAGTGCGTTCTTCAAAGTTCTTCTTCTTCTTTCTTTTTTTTTTGGAACAAAATCTTCAAATAAATTTGAAAACTTTACTTGTGTTTTACAATTGTTTTCCTATAAAGGAACCTGTATTTTATGTGAACATTTCCGAGATTTGTTTCTCAGTCCTCCATTGGATTTTTTACTTCATCTTTTCGCTTCAAATGGACCTCAAAATGTTGAAGGTTATTTTCTTCACAATTTTTAAGAAAACAGAATAATTCCAGTGTTTGAGATTTTTTGATTTTTTTCCTACTGATTTTTATTTGATATATGCTAGTTGCCAGTGGTTACCTTATAAGAAAATTCATCTCAGAATCTGTTTGTCCCTCAAGAGATACTTAACTCATCCGTCCAGCTTTGGGGACTACAAGTTGCCAAAAATAAAATGTCATCTATGATTAAAAGTATTCAGAACTACATACTTGGTCCTTTTTCCTTGACATTTTTAACCAAGAGTGGTGGATCTGAACATTGACAGAAAGAAGACTAGGCCTGAGCCGAAGCATCACCTCAACTGATCATGAGCTTATGAACAATTCAAGCCATTTACTAGAGTTAATTTTTCCTTTTTCTTATGCAAGGAAAACAAACCTCCTATGTCCCACCGAAAGCACAGTAAACTAAAACACATGAGTTAAACTGGCTTTAAAATCTGATAGAAGCTGAGATTGACAGGAGAAATGTAATTGGGGTAGTACTAGTTACTGACAATAAGTCCAAACACAAGGACATCTGATAATTTTTTTAATACAATTTCATTACAAATTTTGTGTTAAGATTTTTCTGCAATCATATGCATACTTGAAACTAATTGATTGATTAATTAAGAAGTTGTCATTGACGCGTAAGGATACTTAAATTTCTCATGTACTAAAAAGGAAAGGGATGGGACAACTAATGGAAAAAAGGAAGAAATGATAAGGACAAGTGTGAATACACAGCAAAGGGAACACTGATAAATAAAATAACATACATTAATTTGAGAGAGATTTTCTGTGACTATCTGGCATTAACACAGGCACAGGCCCCATTCCAACTTTCATAAGTGATGCATTTCAAGGAAATCATCAAAATGTCAGCTAGGAAGGCAGTTAGCAAACATAACCAAATAGCACATAGGATGCACATTTAAGGTGCAACTTTAAACCAAAATTGTGCCTCAGATGAGCATTGCGCAACATGTAGGTCTACTGACTCGGCCAATACCCCATGGCAACAAGAACAGGATAATGGTTTAAGCTAACAGTAATCAACTGGATTATTTGGTTATTTGATTGTTTTATGTTGTTTTATTTCTTTACATAAACTATATTATAAGCTGGAGAAGAGCTCAAATGTTTACAATTAGACTTCCAAATTCAAAATATTTGAACAGTAAACAGTTGTTTTGTTTCTGAAAGTCACAAACATGCAAGTTGAGCAGTTAACATTTTTGAAACAATGTTTACAATAGAAAGCTCAGTCACATTTGACTCACTAAAAGGCACCTTTGATGAACACATAGTTAAATTGAATTTTCAATGCGCAAATTATCAAATTACGACGGAGTTCTTACTTTGATTAACACAAAAACTTAATGGGGAAAACATATCACATCATAGGAGGAGATAGGTATTCACCAACAGATCCTGTATCTTGGGATTATAAGAGAATACACATATAAGGAATAGACAAAATAACCAGGAGAATCGTAACAATGATAGGTGAAACTTCATTAACTCTTTCCGATTGATTAAAAATGGTAAAAATAAAGTTACTTTAAAAACAAACAGAAAACGAGAGAGAACAACAGAATATTAACAAGTGTGTATCACATACAGTTAGGATTGCATCCTAACGGAACTATATACGTAGTGTATTTAGCACCTACCAATCTAATACATACATACCATAGGTACCTACCAACCAAACACAGGTGGGCATTGAAATGGGCAAAACAGAAAAAGTTATGACAATAATTACTACAGTACATTTATAAATATATTTCTATGTATAAAACTTTCGTCGAGTCTCTAACAAACCATAGCACAAGATTTACAAAATGGAACTCTCTTACATTATCAGGAGAAGATGTACATGACCATCAAAATCTTTGGGCTCTGCACACAGATATTTCAGCCAGCCATGCAATCAAACACAATCACGTGTGTAACAATAAATAGACAATCTACAAAATGTATACTTCCAAGCTTAAATAGATAGTGGGCGCATATCATACATTTACTCACTAATCACTCTTTGTTTTAATTTACTTTACCTGAATTTTGCAACATGCTCAGGTAGGAAAGCAAAGGTATACTAACAACTTTGAAATCATTTACAGTTCCACATCTGTAAGATTGTTAAATTTTGTTCTGTATTTAAGCTTCATCCTTTTAAAGAGACAGAAGCACAGCTCAGAACAGACTACGTCTGCCTGAGCCATACTTGTATCATACAGTTACTCCTACTTCACCAAGTATATCTGATAGGCGAGACAAGTATGAATTCAATGCAGTCACATCTTGATCGGGGTAACTACGATGAACTAGTTGAAAAGCATTCATATATTCTAATTCGGAAAATTGAGGTCCCTTTTCAACCACTCCACTGAGAATTTCCTGTACAAATTAAAAACATGATTCAATAAAATTCAGAAATAGGTGTAAATTTAGGAATAATCCGAGTCAATGAGAATATATTTGAAGGACCATCACATTTGTTTACTTAATTTACTGACTTACCTCAGGTGTTAAATAAAACAATTCATAATAGTGTCTTGCATGATCAAGAGCCACTTCCCTGGTCATTGTAATATTTGTTAGTGTCTGTTGCAATGTGAATATGTTTCGACACATCTTCTGAATTCCACCCTCATCAATTCTGTCAATGTATTGGGCTACACTCATTAAGATCTTTGACATGAAATGTCCCAGACCCTCGAAAACATACTGTAAGAGAGTGTAAATAGCTTCTTAGACAGATAGATTAGAAATATACCATAGTTCAATAAGAAACAAACAAAAGGAGTTCTTACTCTGCACTTGAGAGGTTGTAAGATGTTTGTAAGCGCTTCATCACAACTAGTTAAAGCCCTTGTGAGTTCCAACACTTTAGGATCTGGCTCCTGGGAATCCATTCCACAATCAGCTAAGCGACCATAATCCTTCACTTTTGGAAGAAGGTAATGGAAACACTGCACTCTCACCTATAAAATAGAGATGAGTAGACTGATAAGATCACGCAAAAAGAAATGCATTTGGCGCGCCTAAGTGACTTGTGTTACAAGACAATCCTTTTCTTACCTCTAAGTGCAGTACTAGCAAACATGTGTCAGCAAGATCTTCAAACTCTCTTGCTAGTTGTTGGAGCCCTTCTACAGTGCCGCTTTGAGCAGCTGGAGTAACATCAGACATAACTCTCACAACAGGTATCGTCGGTGATAATCGTGGAAGCTCACTTGCAAAGCTGTAGATGCAGCCAGCAAACCATTCCTAGAAACAAAACAAAATAATTATGCGAAAATAAATATTTGGATATTTGGCTTCGATTTTTGAAATCACAAATAATGAATAACAAAAGTCATACCATGCTCTCCTGCAGTAAAGCTAGGCTCCTTAAATGCTTTACGTCAGATATAATTTCATGGTGGTTTACTCCACCCTCACCCAAGGCACTAGCAAGAATCTCAGCTTCTTTCTCATTTCTTTGGCGAATATCCTCTGGACTTTCTTCATCTGTTGTTTCCTCTCGATGCAAGGCACGTCGTTTCTGCCTCTGAAGATGAATAGCTTTCTGAGCTTGCAAATTTGCCCAATTTGGTAGTGATCTAAATAATAAATTTAAACAGATAAAATTTTAATTAGGTATAAGTCATTTTTGAGAAAAGTACTACAGCTCCAAAGCAAAGGAGCGGTAAGTACGTACTTTATAAATCTACTAATATCTTCATCTTTCAAAAAAGCAGCACTGAATATGCGTTTATCTTCTGATTCTGGCTGAACTTTTCCCCGATATGCAGCTTGACAATTTTCACGATAGCTTCTTAGGAGGTTGGTGACTATTGACAAGAAATGTTCAGTGTACACAGGCAAGGCCATGATCAACTGCTGTAGATCTTTTACACAACTTTCGATCAACACTGTGCTCTAATAAAGAAGAAAGAAAATATTCAAAATACTTAAAATAAGAATTAGATAGAAAATACAGGAATTTCGAATTAGGAAAATAGGTACCTGAAGAAGAGGTCTTGTCCTTCGCATTTCTCTCATCTGCTCGGGGGTGATAATGCCTCTCCATGCTTCAGGTGACTTGGTGACCATTTCTATAGTTGATGACATTTTAGATTGATAACGACCAAGAAACACTTCTTTGATGTAGTCAGCTAAAAACGCATTTAATGTGCAGGGAACCCTAAAATAATAGTTAAAATTAGTAGAATAAACAAAATGTTTTGCTCAAAGTGCTTTGTGAAAATACAAACCCAATTTTGCAATTTGTTGCCAACTCAATTTCCTCAATAAACTTAGTAATTGGTATAAAAATAAGTGTTATGTTATGAGGGTCAGAGGGACAGATCAACAGCTTATCTCTTTGAAGACGGCCATCTGAGTGCATCTGAAGAAACACAAGTTTAGTAAAGAGCCATTGAAATCACAAGAAAGATTAGATTACTTTAAACTTACTTTGAAGTCAGCGTTGTCTGCAAGCATAGTTCCATTTGAAATACTGAGAGAATGTTCAAATTTAAACAGTGGCATTTTCTTTGGTCTAAATTTAAAGAGAACAATTTTTTATTAGTTAGCTAGATATTACCGTATCCTATAATTACAATGTTAACCTTTACATGTATCATAAAACGGACCTCTGGATTTTTCTACGAGAAAAATAGAACGATATATCATTGCTAGGCTCAGAGAATGAAGCAGTAGCCTGTTGGTTGTCAGCAGCTGTGTTCTGAATGTCAAGGTAGTCATTCAGAACTAATTGCATCTGTAAAAGAACAATACATTACAATACGTAAAAACTGTTTGGTATGGCATATCAACTTTCTATTTTAAGCTTCAAGGAACACTTACAACAGCCTGTACCATCGACCAAATATCAGATATTTCATAGAGGCGAATATTTTTTAAAATGTATTTTTCACAAGTATAACTTAAGCGCCTTAAAACAAAGTTGTGACTTTCAGCGATGCGTCTGAATTGATCTAGCAGAGTATACAAGAGTTCAGGTAGGGGATGATTTGACTGATTACTACCAATGCTCTTCTGTTTTACATCTCCATTTGAGATTTGGGATGGAGTGACTGCACCATTTGGCAATACTGCAACAGGCAGTAGTGATGTGGCAGAGGGCCCAGTCATAGGGGCTTGCAATACTACTCCATCCAGTAATGCTCTTGTAGTCCGTGACACAACACCGAGTAGTTCAGACTGCATCTGAACTTTCAAGGACTGCAAAAATGAAACGGCACCAAATATTTAAAGAAGGAAATAACTAATTAATTAAAAAATACACAGATAAGTTCACAATCTCCTCTCACCTCCACAGCTTCAGGTATTTTCCCCAGAACAGCTAAGCATTCAATAAGAACAGCCATGAAATGCTCTGGATTCAGCTGCAGATTGGTGGTGTCAAAATCTTCTGACAAGTCAAAGTCATCTCCTGGCATTGATCCTTTGGGACTCAATCCCACCCTGTTAAAAATATTTAGCCATTATAACAGTTTGAAAATTATAAACTGCATTATCATTATGATTATTACGACATCTCACCTGCCAGCAGATGCACCTGGAAAAGGACTAATTTCAAGTAAATTCCTCCTCGCCTTTCCCCTAGCGGAAGATCTCAATTCTGAAGCTCTTTGAAATGGTGATGCAGATGCATTCATGTCTCGCCCAGAGCCCTGGCGCCTAAGTGCCAAAACTTCTTGGGTGGACTCAACATAGAGAAGTTGGCTCAGCTCTTCCAAAAGTTTTATGTGTAATAATTGTTTTTTGGCTTGAAGTTCACCCCTCAGCTCACGCAATGCTTCCACCTTCTCCAGACTGCCATCACCGAGAGTGAGAGCCTTTACCAAAAGCTTAGTTGCACTAAGGTATTGCTTTTTGGCCATGTAGATTGCAAGCTGGGAGGGCACTTCCCTTAATTGTTCTCTGCCATTACCAATGTTCAACATGTAAAAATGGAATTAATAAAGGTACAAAATGCAAGTTGGATAGGTAGATAGGTTTACCCTAATGCCTTACATCTCTTCAAGTAGCTGCAGAACATGTTTGTGTTCAACTCCTTCTAACCACAGTTTCTTCAGCTCATCTCTCCGGCAATGTAATAGCTGTTTGCAGGCTAGCAAATTCTCTTTCACACCGAGAATTTTTTCCCGGGATGCTGTTACCGATGCTGATAATTTAGCAAATACCTAGAAAAGGTACAATTACTGTAGAACCATTCCTTCACTATTTAAATACGCATGTCAAAACAAAGCTGACAAACTATGTACCTGCATGACCTGTGTGAGGTCATTATGGTGGAATGATATAAGCTCATCTAGACGCTGATCACTGCGTTTGTATTCCTTCTCTAGCTTAGCTTTCTCACGATCACGTTGTTCATTAGATTCACTTGCTGATAAAGTTCGGATCACAGACATTAACAGCCCACTCTGTAACAAAAATGATATTATGGTAGAAGAGGTAATGTATACAAAGACATCAAAAACAATATAAAGAGGAAATGGTGAGACAATAATGTTGTGTAAACAAAGATGATTGAAATGTCAAAGTTAGATGAGTAGGTTAGAGTTTCTGCTCATCAGTTGCAATACACTTCGGAAACAGAAGCACAAGAAAGATTTTTTGTGCAGATTAAATCAAATATGAAAGAGACTATTGTTTTGGAAACGTAAAACGAAAATGACATGGTTCTTGCAGACAACTCTTGTCAAAGTTGACAGGGGTGACCCCCCCTTCAAAAATAAGGTTAGAATATCGTGAATAGAGTACTTTCGTGTCCAAAAAAGAATCAACGAATCCCTCGTGCGATTAAGGGGCAAAAAAAGGGACACAGAAATGTAAATCTTACGCTTTCTTTCGGGTGTTTGACACTGCGAGGAGGTTTTGTTGGGGGCGGTAGCCCCGCCATGGTGGTTGTTTCTGTTTATTAACTCGGGCAGAAGAACTGGACATATAAGTCGACTCAAGCCTTCAGCAATTTTTCATTCTCGAAGTCACAGTGAATTTTTCATCATACACTCCAAGGTGTTAAACCTTTTTAAAGTTGGTGTCTACAGTCAGCCTGTCAGCCTTTGAGGGTAAAACGGGTGACAGTATGGAAGAGGTGTGTAAAGTTGAACGAGATCTTGTGCCCGTGCGGTACGTCCAGAGCGGTGGTGCGACTGTGCCCGGGCCAACCCAGCAAGGTGAGACCACACTGTGGTCATGTGGATTGCACATAGCTGGGCACTTCCCTTCGTTACCAACAATCCTTATGCCGCAAGTTGGACACGATAGGTAATACATAGGTTCGATCTACTTAATCTCTTCAAAAGTAGCAGAGGTCTTCCTCCTTGGCGGATGCCACCCGCTGATTCAGAAGAGCGTTCAAGGCTGCCCCATCTGAGTGCAACAAGGACGGAGCTATACGGGAGGCATGGGAGAGCCCCCCTTGAACGCTCCTCTGAATCAGACGACAGCCGTCAAGCAGACACACGACACACACCACTCATCGCAATAATATTATTCTAGGAAAATAAATGGACAGCGCATAAAGGGTGAGTAGCGGGTGGCCGCACCCAGGTCCTTATCCCTCCCATGAGGCCGCTGTTCCGGCCCCTCGTTCCGCAAGAAGGTGTAATCTTATAGAGACAAGTGAGCGCAAGCCGCGCAAGCGCTCCTATATTGGGGGAACCACTTCCCGCGTCACCCAATGACGAGGTCGGCGCGGGGAGGGATTAGCGAGCCCCCCCCCCCCGACTCCAGCCGGGCCTAATGCTACCCAGCTAAGTACCTGCTAGGGATTTCAAACCAACCGGCGGAGCGGCGGGAAGGAGCCGTTTCCCCCACCACGCCCGCTTACGGCCACCGTTCCGGCCCCCGTGACTGCGAATAACAATAATACCCGCCTTACCTCACACCTCACCCCCC